GATGTTTACCAGAAGGGGATGTTCGGAAGAAATCGGTTCGATGGAGTAATCAAATGGTATCCAGGAGTGGGATGCCCAAAATGTATATATGTGTCGAAATCAAATATGTTTGTCCATATAGTACATTGAACAATTTTGCCTTTAGTTTGGGCAACATGTCGGGTTAATATAGAGATTATAATAAAACCACCTGAAGTCATCCCTCAACCCAGCGCCACACCTGGCTTGAACAGGACAACGGCCCTGAATATCCTGACAGTGATCATGGGTGGAACTTTTTTAGTGGAACAGCCGGGAAGTTCACTCATGGAGGAGTTTTGCCGTTTCAAAGCGATGTGTGAACGACTGCGAGTTCCATGGACAAACTAAGATGGGTGTTTTATACTGATCGAAATATATTGGATTTGCCTTAGAATTGTATTTAGGGATCCGAAACAACTAGATATTTTATTGGGGGTTCTCTGGTTTCCCTCTGGAAAACCGTTGAAGGTTTTTGAGGTTGCATGCATATAGAGGGAAATACCATGCGGTCGATTAATGCATATATATATATAGCTGCAGCTTTGCCCGGCACAGGTTTACAAATGCGCCTGGTGGATGGCCCACTATGCTGCCAAGTGCCCGAAGAGGACCAAGGCATTTAGCAACTCAAAACATATTCAAAGGTTGTGTCGGGGAAAGCTCACAGCTGCCCAGCGGACAAAATGCACCCTCAAGACTACTGTGAAAACCAAATCTGGTGGCTACCAAGGGAGCAAGGATCTCCGATCTACTCAGCATTTTGGCTGCAAGCCACCCATGATATCTTTCTAATGGCAAACCTGCCTCTTGAATTTCTTATCAGGTGCATGGTTATTTAGCAGTATATAGCACCATATATGTGCAAATTGGAATTTACAAATTTTCCATCCGTATATATATATATAGAAAAGTACATTGTTTTGGGTCAATCTGATCAGGGGTTCAAATATAGCCAAAGGGACTATAACAGTAGCCAAAATAATGTATAGATTGCATATAGTTCAGAAAAACTGCAATATTCAATATACTATTTGGCTCGAGGGCTGAATGCCGGCCAAACTGACACCCTACCAAATCCCTCACACAAGAACAGCCAAAGCGATTGAAGTGACCAGACCTTTCTGGTATAGTTTCGTTGTCATCTGGGCCTCATAAAGCAGCCACGCTTTGCTGCCAACTGTGAACCAAGCTGCCCTTTGCTTGGACGATATGTGCTGCCATAGAGCGTGCAAAGGTTGTCTTTCACAGGCTGACTCAGCCAACATGGCCCTGGGTAGGCAACTCGATACCTTGTTTGCCATCATGGCTGATAGATGCCATGTACAATGCTTTCTGCCGTCAGCATCCGAGGCATCCACTGACCCCTTGGTGCAGTGCCACCCAATACACTTCTCGATTTGTGTGCGCTTGACTCAATTTCCCAACCGCTTGGCTCAACGGGAAAAAAAATACCTATATGTTTTTTAAAAAATGTATATGAAATGATTGAACCTTATAAATCCCCAAAGGGTCAAATATCTTCAGGATATGGATATGCCCATGTCTGATCTTCATTTAGATGAGTCCCTTGGAAAGGGTCTGGGGATTTGGCTCGGTGCATGAGGTATCCTCTGCCGATGTTCCCATATTATTTCCACTCAATCAATATAGAGCTGATTGTAACCCCCTAATGCACTAATGATCGAGCTATATATATATATAAGTGAGTGGGCTCAACCAAAGTAACATTGATCTTATATATATAATTGCACACTGGGGGTCCTATATAAAACTCAATCAGTATATATAAGGGTCTAAGCTTGAATTTTGTTCTCCATTTTATAATACCAAATAATCGCCTGCTAACCCAACCCCAAAAAACAATGGAAACCCTCTGAGTATACTTGATTCACCTGGTTTTATCTCTATATTGACCTATTCCAATCGAAACCCAAACATTGCTCTATTCCCCAAAGTTACTGAAAATTCAATAGTTATATGGTTGATCCTTTCAATATAATCTTGCAGTCTCCTTGGGTGGCAGAAGTTTCTTAATGTTTCTTATATAAATGGATATAACATCCTGTATTCTTGGCCCATGCCCAGGAAAGGTTGATATATGGAAATATATGGAAATATATATAAAAGGATCACTCCAATTTCCAATTATATATATTTATAATTTATATATCTCAACCTTTCCTGGGCTTCCAGCCCGCTGCCTAGGACATATACAAAAGAGTTCGGCCAGAAGATCTGCAGCCTGATGCCGCTGCTGATGAAGGGGGGGAGGGAAAACCACCGGTGAATTCAGCCCCTGCCCACGAACTCTTCCATGAGACTCCCTGGAGGGACTGGGGAGAAGCAAACTTTAAAGATTGCATTAAATATTTGCGAGGAAACAAGTACCTAGTTTTGCCAGAAAGGTGGCGGAAGGTGATTCCCACACACTTGTGATGACCAGCTACATGGCCCAAAATGAGTAATTTCGATTCCAATTAGAATAATTTTGGATTTTTTTGAGGAAAAACATGGTTTTTTGGGGACGAAAAAATAACTCAAATTTCAAGCTTGAGACAGAACGTTCTTTAGCGACCTGGGGCAACTTTTACACGTACTTGGGGTGTAAAAAGGCGTTATGGTACGTAAAAAAGCATATACGTTCTGGAGCGACTTTTTACGTTCAATTTCAGAAGCGTTCGACTTACGTTCAAAGAACGTTCATTGAACGTTCAAATTACGTGCAAATAACGTTCAAAGAATGCAAAAAAAACGTTAAAATAACGTTCTTTTTTGGCCCTCCAAAATATCACATCATAACGTATTTTTGAACATTTTATCGACAAATGTGTGGGGGTTGGCTGCCAGATTGGATCGACGCTGGCATGAGTTCATCGAGAAAACATGCAATGCTGCTTTTCAGGTGACTAGACTATATACCCATTGCCTGGATCCTTGGCCCCCACCACGATAAAAATCAAAACATATGTTTTTTGGGTATATAGTCTAGTCCCCTCGTTGCTTCATGTGCCCTTTTGGAATTGCCACTCAACAGCATGGATCAGATTTGTCGTTGATATATATATATATATATCTTTAGCATTTTTTGGCTAACCAAGCTTCTCTTAGTTGGACATTGCCCTGGGGAACCATGTCGACCCACACGCTTCAGAGCCGTGCCTGGTCTTGTGGTAGCCTTGAAAAGGGAGTCAAAGCCTGTGCAGCGACGGCTGGTCTTGACTTGACTGCCATGAAGGATATGACCCCTGAAGAGTTGGAAAGGACTTTGAAGGACCAATTGGTTTTGTTCTAAATGGATCTAAAAGGGGAATATGAAAGTCAACATTCCATGGCAAATGGGAATTGTGTGCACCCCTATTTCTTGCAGGAAGCCCAGGGCTTGCTATCAAAGATGTCAGTGAAGGTGAAGAAGGAGCCAACTTCTCCGGAAACTTGGGCTGCATAGTCGGCCATTATGTATAAGTTTGGGTACCAGAATCATGTATATCATATCTATCCATCCTGTGCCCATGCTTTCTATATGGTGTATATATACACATCAAACTTGTGATATTTTTATATATACCATATATATATATATATATATATAGACCCTATATATGCAAAAATCCAGAACTGCTTCGATGCTTAGGTGAAGCTTTCCAGGGGCAAGAGCACAGTGGCTCTTTGTGATCAGGAGACGCAACCTGCTGAATCTTTGCCGAACATTGATTAAAATCATGGCTGTAAAATCATATACATGTGTTGTTTGCTATATAGGTATAGGGTCTCGATGTAATAGATATATATGCTCACTGGCGCACCCTAGTTTTTTCCCAAGAAAAAGCCACCCATGTATTTCAAAACGCTGTGAAAACTCAGGATGCTTCAGAGATTGCTGCTTCTCTGTCATCAGCGGCATCACCAAAGTTGGCAGCTGTGGAGGCTAGGAGATCTATGGGGAGTTGAATGCATGAGATTATATATAGAACCCATATGCTGAGGATCATTCCGATATGCCAACCCCATGCAACATATAAATACTTCAGCTAGTGAATTCCCATGGCCATATAAGTTATATAAAAATTCTCATGGTGGATTCCGATGCATGGAGGCTACTCCGACTTCAACTGAGTGCACTTCTCCGACCCCAACATCTCATGCTCTTACGCCAGAGGCTGGGTGGGGTGTGGAACCAAATCCAAACCCACAGCAACAAAATTTATGGGGACCCAATCGACAGATATAGCAATTATATATATTTCATATATTTGAATCTTTAAAGTTTCATATGCTACACGAGGTTATGCAAAACTGCCACAGAATCCGACTTAACCTTGTCTCGTCCAGGCCTCTGATGGGAAGAAATCTGATGTGAAGGACTGTGCCTGTCATCGCTGGGAATCTGTTGGATCGGGATAGGAGTTTTGTCGCCCAAAGATGATAGAATGATATACAATTTATTTCAAGATATAGACAGAAAGAAACCCCTTCTTTTATAAACAGAACCTATTTGGATTGACTCATTTCATCAGCTCTTGGCAGGGCGGTTCCAAAGCTATTTGTGATGGAGATCTTCTACGGCTTGCACTTGAGAAGATTGAAAGCTTGCAGAGTCAGATAACGAGTCTCAATTCCCAATCGTCTACCCCAAGCCCGACTCCATCAACTACCCCCAGATCTGCCATTCCTGATAAGACCGTGGAACCGAAGAATGCACCAAAGAAAGGCAACCCCACCAATGGGAACCCTGATGATGATGAACCGATCAGAACTCCCGATGGAGTTGCTGTGCTTTTGATGCAGTTCATATAACGTTATTCCCTAACCCAAATGCCAAATTATATATATATATAGCCCCCATAGGATAGAGATATTGCTTCCTATATCGATCCAAACTGTATATAAGAACAAATTGATTTTGTTTTGTATACAGGATCCCATTGCAATCCTATATATCATTGTTGAAATCTGAGGTGCTGTCTCATGACGCTCTTCGTATGCGTCTGCGTCGCTTAGTGGAGATAAAACAATCTGGCAAGTGCCATGTGCCCCAGGAAGTGGTCGATGACTTCAAGACGGGGGGTGAGTTGAAAGAGTGGCTGGAGATTGCTCTCCTAGAGAGCATCAAGAAGGTTGGTACGGACCGTTGCAAATTCAAGGCTGTCAAGGTCGGGGTTTGGGAATTCCTGGTCAGATTCAATTATGACATGTATGTTTTGTTTTTATATAAAAGCCCCCATCGAGATCGATCTATGTACTTGCTCCTTATCAGGCGGAGTTCAAAGTCCGCTGCAAAGTTGTGAAGGAAAGAATGCTTCACAAAGAGAAGGAAGTCAAAGGGAAATGGGTAACCCGTGAGAAGATGGAGAAGTCAGGGGACTACAGTAGGTGCCCTGCCTGCATGCCCAAGGAGAAGTGCAGGTTCTGCTGTGCGGTCCATCTCACCTTGGATCATGTGGCAGAATGACAACCAACATAAACCCAACGAGCTAAGGGAAAGTATTGCCGCGATTATCGCTTACTGTTCCAGATTCCCGCAGGCTTTGACGAGGCCCTGTTAATTTGTGCATTCTTCTTTTCCAACATATGCTCAGATTTGAGATCTTCATGATCCATATGCCCCTTCAGGCAGTGGAAATACAATACCTCTATTGTGGAATATTTTTTGGAGGATGAAACTACCACGACCCTGCGACTTACCGAGAACCATCGGCGAACAGAAGAACATGACCATGGAGTGCCTGAATCAATATAGTGACTAAAATTGTTTCAAACCAAATGATGTATATACATTCTAGCATGTATTGGGGATCGAAAGCTGAATCTGAGGATCTTGAAGGTGTGGCTCCAGACCATGGACCCCAATTTGGAGCTTTGGACATTGGCCAAGATGCTGAGCAGCCCGAAGTGGTTGGGGAGCAGGTTACCTGATTGAAAAAACAATACTATATTTTTATATATGTCTATCGGGGTATATTGAAAAAAATATATAGATCCAATATGATCCAATACTGAACCCACCCAGTGATTGGGTTTCCCTGCGGGCTCTTTGCCCATTTGGCACAGGTCACCGCTGACTTGAACAAGTTTATGGACTCCTTGCAAGGCAAGATTTCGAGCATCTTTGACATGGTAGCAACCATGAGGGATCCACAGAACCCAGCCCCTTGTGAGCGGTACATCCTGTTTTCTAGCTGCAAACCTGTGGTGGATTGTGGCATGGTTTAACCATATAGTGATGGGTATATGGTTTGGGATTATATATTTGGATACCTTTTCATATATATATATAAGATCCCAATCCCCTTGTATTGAGGCTAGCCAATGAGCTTGATGCTGTGTCTAGCAACATGGAGAAATCCTTCAAGGTGCTCGCAGAGTGCATGACCGAGTTGAAGATGGACAAAGTTGAGAAGCTTGAGCCCCAAAATGTCAAGTTGGTGGCGTTCCTTGGCCTCTTAACCTGACATACCCCAATGAAAGATTTCGTTAGACCCAATCGCTTTACAACTTTATACATGTTATGTGGGAAAATGTTGAATGTTCTCATCACGGAGTTTCTCACTCTACATGGCTCAAATCAAATGAGGGATGGATTAGGCGTCCTCTGTTTATAGGGTATATCAATCAAAATCCATAGCAATTTGTGCTTTAATTCATGCATGGCAGCTGCTGGTGTTGAAGATGATGAAGATGATTCAGAGCAGTGGTTACGAGAACTCATTGATGCCTACAGAAATGCGGCTCCTACAATATTTGCAGCTCCCCCATGTGCCCCTTGATTAAATTTAAAGCTGATCACAGCTCACGTGCATGCATCGAACCCAAGATGATCATTCGACCTACATTTGTGTTTTATGGTGTGGTCAGTCCTGCCACTTCTTCTTCCCCATCTCGGCCAAGAAGCCCAAGGCAGTCTTCAAAGACCTGCCAGACAGGTGCATTCGTCATGTCATGCCGAGCAGGAGCTTGATGTCCAGGTTGGATCCAGGAATCCTATCCTTGCCAAGAACTTCCCAAGTTTTTGAGGAAATGGAAAAGCATCAGTATATCAAGCATGACTTGCCGGCTAAAGGGTCACTTCCAGGAAAAGCGTTGAAACACATCTACCAGGTGCTGGATCGGTGCATTGAAAAAAAATGGCCCATGATCTACAAAATTGGTGCAACTCACAGCCCTCCGTATCGCTACAGCAACAGCCTTTATGGATATGAGCATGAGAAAGTCAAATGGGATGGTATGACAGTTTGTTTTTGTAGTGCAGAACCGACTGCAATTGCGTTCGCTGAAGCGGCAGCTATCCAAAAATACAAGGGCCCCTCACCTGCAATCAAACGGTTGTAATGATCGATCGATATATGTCATTGGTTTACAGCTGCACTCTTTATATGTCTTCAATTATAGGTGGGAACATAAAATTTAATTTGGACATCCCAGGTCAAAGTGGATGCAAAAATGAAGCCGATGGAGGAGAATCTGTGGCCAATGAAGAGGGCCCATACTTTGTCTACTTTGTCTTCAAATCCTTTCAGAGACCCAGCAATGCGTACCTCATGAACACCATGGGCCAGAACTTATGTCACTGAAAATGTACATATTATAGCCACCGAATGGTATCTTGTTGAAAGCCTCAAATGATGGCATGTCTATAGAAGTTCAACCTGTCGCATGTGGATTGACCGCAAAGAAGCCGGTGAACCACACATGTCAATTTGAATTCGCAATGTTGAATTAGTTTTGGGGTTTTCCATGACCATGTTAGCCACCATGGCCACCGAGGCTTGTGGGCAAAATCAAAACTGAAAAGGATCTGGTCAAGCAACCGTCCCTTGGTTTTGGGAAAGAGGCTGGGTTGTCGACCTATTATATTCTTTACTTCAATCCGAATCCAAACATATCAAAATACTTTTTTTTTTCGGTCAGGGATATGGTCATGTTTTCGGTGGTGGACATGCCTAAGGTGTGCTGAGCTCATCACATTGGAAGCACAATACAAGCCGGCAGCTTAAATAACACAGTCCGTTCAGAATGCAACCATGCATGATGATCCCATCATGAAAACAGATTATATACTGGTCCAATCAAAGATTCAATCATATTCAAACAACATTTTGTATATAAGGATGCTCAAGAAAGCAATTGCCGCAGCAAAGAGAAAGTCTGAACCCAGCCAGAAAGAAGCCGAACCAAAGAAAGCAGCTAAGACGAAAAGTGGCAAGAATAAGAAGAAGGATGCTGAGGATGCTCAGGAATGGGAGGAGGATGAAGAAGAGGAACAGCCTGAGAAGAAGACAGGAAAGGCGAAGAAGCCAGGCAAGGGTGAAAAGAGCAAAGGTACGACTTCGGCAAAAAACAACGCCTTGAAGCGCAAGTCCAAGAAGGGCAGTGGAGCCGCAAAGTGATCCCACGGCCTTGGAAGTTTGACTTTTGTTTCATGGGTTCACACCAGTGATAACACTGATGTGTGGGGATTGGCCTTGGCAGATGATTACACCTGCTTTCTGTGGCCACAATCTTGAATGGAAACTATCCTGGAGTTCGAACCGGGAAAATTCAAATGTGAACATATTCAGCTTAGATTTGCTAGCGATGGAGAAAAAAATGGTCCCACTCCATCCTTTGTGTTGTCCATCCCTGGCCCTTGGTCTGATGTCCTCTCTCCTTCTATGAACCTTCTCTCCCACGCAGGCCCTTGCCGCAAAGCTAGGAGGCTGGCATGGCAGTACAGTCGTGGAGAGCCATGGCCAGCACTTGCCCATGGCACCCTTGATCCCCATACATCTATCGTTTCCATTCCAAACTGAAATAACGCTTTTCATGGTCTGAACGCCAGAAGATCATTATATTAATTCATGCATGTTTTATAAACTCAAGATGTTCATTCCAACATGGAATGTATATGTTCGATCTTTATATAGATCCCATGTTGTGCAAGGTTTGCGTAGTGATTTTAATTTGAGATGAGTTACTCGATCACTGCCATATCTAAGGAATCTTGCACTGAGATCCTTCGAACAGCCATCGCTGACTTCAATGACATGACTGATGCTGGCGGGCTCATGTGCCCAGTGATTAGCGAGCTGAAAGCTGTACCAGAGACCCACTCAGACCCCTGATTGTAATTCAGTCTATTTTCAGGAATTAGCCAAAAACACCCATGTTTCGCCTTTAAAAGAGTAGGGGGTTCACTAATATGTTCATGCAGATATACCTCTTTTATCCTGCTAAGCCTATTTCCATTCCAAATTGAAAAAAACATCTTTTCAGGGTCTGAACGCACTTGCTGAGAGTTCAAGAGCACATCCAAGGAACTTGGGGTGTCGAAAATTTTTCAAAAATATGGATTCAACTTCCCAGTCCACCTGTCGTTTGCTAACATTGGTGAAGGTGATGTGCACCCGAACGTCCCATACATCAAACCCTCAAACTTTATTGCAGCAATGAGTCGTACCAATGACCTTCATCGAATTTTGGGCGGCTATCAAACTCTGGAGCGTGCTGGGGAGATGTTAGAGGAGTTTTGGAAACGATGGAGAGTGTTGCGTCCCAACCATGACGTATTCAAACAAGGCATTCCTTTATCACAATGTGTTCCAATATATATACATGGAGACGAGGGTCAGCATTACAAGAAAAGTGCTGTCTTAATTTGTTCTTGGCAACCTGCCATTGGATTTGGAAGTCAGAGACGACCACGGGAAGTTGCTCTACCTCCAGAAATTGCTGAAAGTGGCATTCCTATTAATTTTCTGCGAACGGCTTTTCAAACCAGGTTTCTCACTGCCTTGGCTCCCAAGGACTGTTCAAAGGGTTGATGAAAACAAGTGTAAATAAAGATGAACAATAGAATCATATAAAAGTGAAGGAAATAAATATATTTGCAATTAATGCTATATTTTTTTTCACCCAACATCTCCCTGTTCAACTTCTCTAATGTTCAAATCTAAAAGGTCAATTTTAATTTCCACATGTTATTTTGATTCACACAGTTCAAACAGGTTTTGTCTGGATTCTGGATTGACTTTTTAACACTTCCACATTCACCATTCGAAATAATTATGCAGGAGATGTATGAAGATGACGAGACAGTTTGGCACGATATTCTGCGACTTTCTGTTGAAGACTTGGCTTCAGTTCAGTACACGGGAATTCTACTGGAGGGAGGATCCCGACTATACCCCATAGTTCTTGGCAACAAAGGGGATTGGAGCTACCTTGCTTCTCAGCTTGCACATTTTCAAATTGTGATATATATATGTTCTTGGGTTTGTATATGAATTTGATCATATGAATTCAAGAGTAAAGCTGTGTTTTTTCCCTTTGTATATCCAACAGGTTTCTTCAGCCAATTTGAACAGATCCTATAGACGAGCACCAAAAGGTGAACGTCAAGGCAAAAACACGGAGCCTGCGGGGATATGTCATTTGTGCATGGCAGGGACTGAGGGGAAAGACTGGGAAAATTGGAGGCTAGTACAGGGATTCAGTTTGCTTTCCTTTTATGATTTGTTTGGGCACCCCTTTTACCATTGTTGGTTTCTATTTTCAACTAAACCTCATAGCAAAGTTCAGGACTGTTTCAAAGCAGTGCATGAAGGATGCAGCTCTTGAAGATATTCCTATTCCTTGGGAAGATGGCTCAGAAACCGCTTTTACACAGCTGTTACCGTTGTATGGTTGTGTCAATGAACGGGCCAAATTTCACCGTCCTGACCTGTGGCATGCCATACATCTTGGGGTTGGCAAGTCTTTCCTTTCATCAAGTATGAGCGTCATACAGAAGGCCATCCCTGGAAACAATGTTGATGCTCGTTTTCGACAGGTTACAATGGACTACCGTGCATTTTGCAAAGCAAGGCATCTCACACCCTTTGTTACCAAGTTGGATGCTAACACATTCGGGGTGGGAGGGCCAATGGAAGAACCTTCTGGGGGCTGGAACAAAGCATCGCTTACTTCCACTCTCAGTGAATTCTTAGAGCATTTGCTTACTCTGTACCCTGAAGAACTGGAAAAGTTGAATGATGAGCGGGTTCCATACATTGAAACTTGGTTCTGGCAAATTTATATTCCTTGAATGTTTTTGTGTTGGCAAGTTAGATTTCTTTGATGTTATTCTATTTTTGGGATTGTTGCTGCTTATCTGCTTTAAATAGCTTAGGTGTCAGCAGTGCGCTCCCTCAATGCTATGATGAGGATTCTATATAACTCCGATGTGTGGTTGCAACGGCCTTTTGCTCAAAAGTGCATCACTTATGGCTACCACTTTGTAGAAGCATACCGGTTCTTGGCACATGCCAGCTTGGCTCGCAGAGAAAGGAGATTCCCTTTGATCCCAAAAATGCATAGCGTGGAAGAGATTGTCCATGAAATGGACGAACAGTGTCAAAAGAGTTTTTGGATATTTAACCCATTGGTAGAAAGCTGCAGTGTAGACGAAGATTTCATAGGCCGAGCAGCTTTTTTAGCGCGCTCAGTCAGCCCCCGAGCGACTTGCGTTCGATCATTGGAAAGGTACTTGGTACAGCTTATGCAGGTTTGGAAGTTGGACTCAGAAGCTTAGATTTGCTGCTTTGGCTGTGCGATGGGTTTGATCGAATTTATATATATGTGCAAATTTTGCTATCGTCTATCAAGCTGTTGCTTCGAAATATGAATTTAACACACACGTGCAGCTCTTAATGGGCACTTGCTTGTTTGGGGTTGTGATGTGCAGAATGCCAACTAATTATGGTGTTTTAGCCATGTTTCATCGAATATGTATTTTATATAAGCACAACCTCAATTTGGCAGTGTGCAAATTGCGGGATTTCTGCATATATGGGAAGCTGGAGCGACAATCACCGACCAGGAGTGAAATAAAAAGACCTGGAGCGATCTTCTAGCGTTCAGACCCTGAAAAAGTGTTTTTTTCAATTTGGATTGGAAATTACAAGTCTAGAGGCTTAGCAGGTATATATATATATATATATTGTTTGTAGTAGATATATCTATACTTGAAATGTCTTGATGGATCTTGATGGTGTTTATAAGCCAACTTAAAACTAGGAGGCCCCAAAGTAGTGTTTCTTGGGAAAGCAAAATAGGAAAATCATCTGAGGTGTGGTCAAAACTATCGTAAAGCACTTTAGTGATAGGGGGTGCTCCCTTGTGTCTGGAAAGTGCATTTCAAAGACTGTGTAGCGATAGGGCCTTATAGATATAATATATACATATGTAAATATATACATATACATATGTATATTTATATACATATGTATATATATATACATAGATACATATATACACATTAAGTTTCGTTATGTTATGTTTCATCATTTGTCCTTGCCAGGCTAGATTGACAGATGGATCACTGGATGGAATTAATGGAGTATCCAGTTATCCAGATCTATAGTCCTGAGGGGTGTTTCACTACCGAAAATATGCCTTGCCAATTTATGCGTCCAAAATGGTATTCCAGTCTTGAGCCAAAGCCAGATGTTTGGTGCAATGTGTTAACTCCCCTTATGTCCAGAACATGTTGACAACGTTTTTTTTGTTTTTTTTGTGTGTATGTGTACACCGTTCTTGCACAGGGCCCAGTTTTTGATTCAGACGTCACATTTTTCAAACATGCAGTGGGGCAGAGGGGACTTGCAAAGCTCTGCCCAACGAAGCTCTTTGCAAGCATCCCAGGAAGCACGGATTGATCACCCGTGCGTACCTGCGCCAAACCAGTTTGAACTGTTGATTTCTGTTCCTGTTCACTGCTGCACCGTGTTTCCATTCACACAGTTTCGAATTCTGTTGTTTTGGCACTTTTGCGACCTCAACTCGGACATCGAGGAGCACCGACTTTGGAACCAGCTTCAATTCTCAAAACCAGTCCAGTGTGTGTTTTGCTTGTGTTACAAAGTACAAAAACCGCCATTTCTTTTCCGCAACCTGGACATACTGGAATCTGTGAGATTTGAGATATGTTGAAGTCAGTGGCACCATGACCATGATTCGTTCGCCCAGCTATGATGGCATATCCCCAATGGAAAAAACAAGTCTGTGCAGGAACAGGGTATACCCCAAAACCACTGCTTAATCTTCATGTCCCCATTCACATGGCAAATTTAGGTGATACTGTTGTCACCCATTTTTGGACAAGACTCAATATCGACTAGGTACTCATTTGTTAAATCCTTATTTTGGACGGTCAAATCCCCATAAATCAGAAAAACAACTCCAATGGCTCATGGTTGAATCCCATGTTTTCTATTTATATAAATATTTATAGTTACGGTAATTAAACTATGTTTCTAAACAACTCCAATGGTTCATGGTTGAACCCCATGTTTTCTTAAATATATATTGTATAGTCAATTAAACTTTGTTTCTTAATGCATCGCATTTCCGGATGACATTCCCACTGATCCAGCGCATCGGAAGTTCACCTTTTCCTGCAGTTGCGCCGTTGTAGCGTTTCTGTTTGCTCAGCGGGCCAGCTGCGCTGCGCTGTGCAGCTGCTGGCAGCGCCTGCCGGAGGCGGGTTGGCGACGTAAATGACGCGGGTTTGTACTGGAAGTATCCCCAAAATGTGGGGGCATCTAATCCACAATAGCAATAGGGATATGATATGATATATTTGGCTCCATTTTATAAGGATATAATATCGGATATACTGGGATATGAATCAACCACTAATTACTGTAATCAACCATTTTTTGGGGATATGATGATGTGACGTGGGGGTTTCTTAAGCCATGGGAGATCCCCGAGTCACTATGGTTGTTTCAATACTAAGTCATGGTCATCCATGACTTGGATGATTTGGGGTAGCCCCATTTTAGGAAATCTCCATATAATAAGAGATTCAATGAGATAGACTGGGATATAATGGCAAATGGCCGAAATTGAAAGGTTGATCAATGGGGGATACCCGGATGAACGGGTGAAACATGGTGAACATAGTGATGAACCATGGTATTTTGGAGTTCCAGAATTGGAGACCATATAGATATAGGGCTCTGATTGGATCCCAAAAGATAAACTGATAAATGACTTGATGATCAAAATTTGAGATGTTCGTTCAGAGATGTTTATGTCCAAGATTTGGGCCTTCTTTGGGATGGTTTAATCAACACCCACTCAGAGTTCGACATATTTCATGCACCATGGGTGGTAAAGATTTCAGGTTTGTGAAGCTGGAAGCTGGCAGAGATGAGAGACCCAAGACATCCCAAGACGTTTTTTTTGTTTTGCCATCGAGGGAAGGGGATACTACATGATACTACACATGTTTGAATATCTTTAATTGGCATATGTTTGAATGTATTTTGACCACTCAAGAAGAGGAAATGGTTTGGCTCCAAGCACAGTTCTGATGTTCAAGATCGTTTCCATGTTTCGCCTTGGGCCTTGCGTCTGCACAGGAATGGATGTCGAAAGGAGGCAAGAGCAACATGGGTTCATCCCTGCAGTAAACCATGAGTTGCGAATAGGTCCTGGAGGGAATTGGGCAGAGCCTGTACAGTATGTGTTGATGATATGTGTTATTTATCTATTAGTTCATAGTATATCATCATAGTTATTGATATAAACATCATATATCTATTAGTTGAAAATATTTGTTACTTCATCATAGTTCATCTGTTTTCTATATGTTCATGATTTATCCAAGTTTCGGGGCAATTGTCTACCCAAAAAATTGGAAGGATTGAGCCAAAGCTGATGCCACACAATCCCAGGCCCAAATCATGGTCTATGACATTGGGTGTGTGTGTATAAATGTATATATACATACATTTATATATATATATACGTATATAATTATATATATATACTCTATATTTTGGGGATGATTGTAGGTCCTTGACTGGCATAGTTCATCAATCCCAGCCACTCATATCACCATGAAATGGGCCTTTGAAACTGTGATGGGATTCGAATATCCCGGTGATTTGTTGATTAAACCTACCAGGTGGGTCCCCGGGTCCCCTCAGTTGTGTTGGTTCATTTTTATAAACCCCTCAACTATAGATATATACCTACCACACCTTATATATATATAATACATTATACTATTTTATTTTATATTGTATTGTACTATATTATATACAGTGTGTGTATATATATATATATACATACTGGTGATAAACCAACTTAGCTATTCCGCACTGGGGCACCACCTCGTACTGTACATGCTTCCGCCATACCCCTGATAGCGCAAGGTCTTGGGACGTCCACATGCCCAAGGTGGGAGCTGGCGAGCAGAAAAGAGACAGTCATGATAGATATATGGAGAAAGCAAGCATGTGTGGATATGGGTGGATAGTCTAGCACCTTCATTTGTTTGCCATAGAGGATCTATGAGGGACATATATAGATAACTCAACCAGCTGAAGAGTCGCCATGATTTCAGGTTGGAATGTTATAATTCAGCCAGATTACAGACCGGTTTGCAGGTGGATCTCCTAACCAGGTGTTTGTGCAGGGTATCTATGATTGACCATGTTTAACCCTTTTTGGTGACGATTTTGAAGTGGTGAATATTGTGATGGGTCAAATTCAACATCCAGGTAAACATCTTGCACACATGAGATATCCGCCAATAATTTTGGGGACTTAATCAGCACACCTTGGTATATAACTTCATTACGAAGAAATACATGATGGTTCTGTTCTTTTGCCATCAAAACGCGGGGAGTGGAAATCCCGAGGCAGAAGCCGCTGGTCAACTGGCACATTGCATTTTTAAGGGTGACACTGATCATTAATTAGCCGGTGGATAAGTGGATAGGGCATATATGATCCATATATGATCCATATACAATGATCCATATATGATCCATATATGATCCATATATGATCCATATATGATCCATATATGATCCATATATGATCCATATATGATCCATATATGATCCATATATGATCCATATGATCCATATATGATCCATATATGATCCATATATGATCCATATTGTGACCACTATTAATCACTTTCTTCTACCCAACCATTATTAACATATATTAAGATACGGAAAATCCACCATTTGTAGATAATTTCGGCAGGTTTCGTAACCGGTGGATTTGTCGAAATATGGGTTGCCTATTTTTTGCGGTGCCAGGCAAGCGCCAAGCACTTGTGGGCGGTGTACCTTTTTGGGCTCATAGCACCTTCGGCTGATCATTCCCCCAACTGACATTATACCCTGCGAAATACATTGCGGATGAGTTTCCACATGTTTCCACTTGTCTGCAATGTTCAGGGTCGTTGATTTCCTGGAAGGTGATATAGAGGAAATAAGGTGATGAGGATCTAATGTTGGGTGGACTCAGCTGACGATGCATCACAGGGAGCAACCGAAAGTGCACAGACGATTTCTTCTACTGGTGGCTGGCATATGGCGACTTGCAGAAAGTTAAAATTGCAAATTACGGCAAGTCTAATAGAAGCATTTACATGACACCAGGGGAGTTTTACGTAAACGTCTACCTTGGCTTTGAACCAGCTCCACTATGACAATGTTGGGATTTTCACGGGGGGAACGTTACAAAATGGTGAACCCTTGAAATCCAAGTGGCTTAAAAGATGTTACAAAGCATTTATAGACCCAACATTTTGGGCCACTTGCTGACCACTGAACTAACCCCATGGTCAATTTAGAATCTAATTTCCTGGGTCAAAACGCATGATTCGTTCATACCTTCCTCGAGGCAACCTTCTTCACGAATCTGGAAGCGGTGCCCTTCATGTCTGCCCTGGCCATGGGGCTCCCTTGGCGAAAAAAGAGTGTCCAAGATGGGAGATCTATACATGTCGTTGTTGAGTGTGGGATTGTTGATTTGGGTATGGATCAATACCTATTAATACCATTTTTAGGGGAATGAACATCCATTTACTAGCTATTTTGATGTTCACCAGGGGTACAAGGTTTTGATCCATCCCCATTTATTATGATTTATTCGAAATTTCAGATTGATGATGCAACATGAACACATTGTTATGGTTGATTGTGCATATATACATTACACGCATGTATATGATTGTATATGTGTGATGTGTTTCTTTAAATCATGTGTCCGTATTTGTTATCTTTTTATCTTACGTATTGGGACGCGCGTACTTAGAATACCGACGACTATGTTCCAAACATACCGAAAAGGAGCTACATATTTGGCATTATGACATATTATGACTCTGATTTTATTGGGGGAAGTGGTTGACTCATATTTGAGGAGATGGGTGGGCTCGCCATTCTTGTTGTTTGACAGCTGGGTTGATTGAATGGATCAAGATGACCGATCCAAGTTTCAGGGTCAAAAGGGTTTGCTTTAAACATCCAAAAAGATGTGGAAAACCAACGGTTTCCGGGTAGGAAAATGATCTACCAAATGGATCCTCCTGCCAATTTCCACTACTAAATGCTATGACCTAGGTCCCGGAAAGTGAACCAAAAATTTAGTGTGAAATTTCTAGAAACCATTTAGTAGAGAATCATGATTTTTCAAAAAAATCAAGTAAACATCTCTAGACCCATGATCCACATTTAGTAGAGAGGTAAAAATTATATGTTAATCATATGATGTCAAATGTTGTTTTTTGGGTAAAACCATTTAGTAGAGATGTCAAAAAAATGTTGCAAAATCACAGGAACCATTTTGTAGAGGTTGCGAAGTAGAGTTCATAAAACGGTCACAATGAAATGAGACAAAACTGAAAAACCATTTAGTAGAGATTCCCATTCCGTTGCCCCCGATAACCGTTTGGCCAACCCACCGTGCTGCCTTGCCTTTTTTGGGGGCGATGCCAAATCCCTCGCTTGGGTGTTTCTTGCTCGTCGGGTGCTTACTAAATGGATGGTCATGGGATCAGTCTATCTAGAATTGTTTCAAACAAAGCCCTGTTGCATCCTTGTGTGCCCTATTATCCCTTACGTGCTATGGAACACCATTTTGTAGTCCCAAAATGTCCAAAATCTATCAAGATTTCCCCTGCTTAGCCAAGTGCTGCCTCTGCTAATGGATGGTCATGGGATCAGTCATATGTGTTTCATGTTGTTTTCTCTACTAAATGGACCCCGTGTATTTCTCTCCTAAATGGCTTTGGGGTTTTGGTCGAGTGATGTTGGTCCCGCAACTTGTGCTCAAATGAGTACCTCTACTAAATGGAACAGGGTGTTTGGTCGAGTCATGTTGGTGTCTTAAGACACTCTGAAAATATATCCAAATTTTGCGCTTCAGCTGAACCAGGGGCCCACATTTAGTAGTGAAATTCGATCATGCATGCGCATCCATTTAGTAGAGCTTGAGGCTATGCAAGCCGTTTCTTCACTACAAAATGGTTGCACAGCCCCACCCCTTAATTGACAGGGGGTTCCAAATGGCTTTTCCAGACTTTTTTTTTCTATGTTTACAGGAGGCAGCAGGAGGCTACAGATGTTGAAAGTTTCGGTCTCCTGTCCGAGGTGTTGCTGCGCTTTGGCACAGAGCATCCAGCGGCTTTGGATTTTTGCCTTGGCCTTGATACCTCTAGGCACGACGGATCCGGGTTGGCCAAAAAAAGGTGAAGGACCTTGCAAAGGATGATTTTCTGCAAAGCCTCAAAGTTTCCGCGGTGTGTACCTCTAGGCCGTTTTCACTTATCCTAGTTATAAGTAGGTCATAACATGGTTATAACATGGTTTTAACTTGGTTAACATGGTTATAAGTAGGTCCTAAGTAGGCAAAAGGAAAAGTGAAGTTAGAGATACTTATGATCAAGTTCAAGTAACTTATTCTACTTGTATAAGTAAACTTAAGTAGGTTAAGGATTATTTTCTTGATTGGTCCTGAAGTGGATCAACTTACTTTAAGTTACTTGTGTCTACTTGCGTCTACTTATTTCTACTTAACCTACTTATGGAATTTCCTTATATTTTTGACTTTTGCTTCTAAATTTTGCGTTTGCCCTTTTTTTTCCTAGCTTTTTGCGTTTTCAGCAAAAAGCTTCGCAAGTGCAAAAAAAAGAACAGAAGTCTTGATTGTAAACTTAAAACCTTTTAGCAGAACAGCATGTTTGCGAGGAGCGGTGTGTCCGCTGTGTTTCTTTTTTTGGAGAGGGCGGGGCGCGGTGTGTCCGCTGTGTTTCTTTTTTGGAGAGGGCGGGGAGCGGTGTGTCCGCTGTGTTTCTTTTTTGGGGAGGGCGGCTTGTGCGCGTTGCTGTTTTTGGTGTATGTACATCACCAGGGTGCAACCAGCAACCTGCAGGATAGAAACAGAGGCTATGCTATCTCTGTGCTATCTCTGCTATCTATGGTCGGAACTGTCCTGTGAGCTATTTTTTTGTTCGTGTTATCTCTGTGCTATCTCTGCTATCTCCTGCTATCTCTGTGCTATCTCTTTGCTATCTCTGTGCTATCTCTGTGTTATCTCTGTGTTATCTCTGTGTTATCTTTGTGTTATCTCTATGGCATCTCTACGTTATCTCAAAAAAAATGAATTTTATCTGTAGCTTCACCTGTTTTTTGGAAGGCTGATTGTGGTTCTTTTTTGCTTTGTGGGTTCCATGATGTTCTTTCTGCTTTCAATTCTCTGTTGCTGCGTTTGCTTTGGTTCAGCGGTATGGCCGCTCACAATCATAGTCATAAACTGCAAATGTTCAATGCCTCTGTACACATTGCCTTCCCAAGAAGAGCGCAAACAATTTGCACAATGTGTTCGAAAAGAAAACAAAAATTCAAAGAATTTAGTGAAATTCCAAAAAAAAACAAAAAACAAAGGAAAAATAAGCGTTCTACTTATTTCTACTTATTTCTACTTAAATCTACTTATTTCTACTTATAAGTAACTTATAAATACTTATGTATACTTATGTTAAGATTCAAATTTAAATTATAACATAAGTTAACATAAGTAGACAATAACTAGCTTAACTAGCTTTAAGTTACTTAAAGTAGAATAAGTATAAACGGCCTAGAGGTATGTTGTATTTGAAAAGGCAATTTGTGAACCTGGAGGTAAGCTGCGTTCTCACCTAGTCAGTGAAAAAAAAGAAATGCGAAAGGTCCTGATGCTGTGCCAACTTTGGTTTTGACCAAAGGGTAATCTCAACTGACATCTACAGTCCACCCAAACTTAGGAAGATTTGGAGCAAAGTAAAGAATTTGGCACTGCTTTCACTGATTTGATTGAATCTGAGTCTTGTTCGCTTCAAGGCAAACAACTAGGGTATGAGGTGGAGACTGATTCTATTTGTTTCTTGCCGGGTGTCCTATAGCTTTAACTGCTATTGTCCGCGGATCTTCGAGGTTTCAGCTTTGTAATCTTGGTGAGCTATCACCGGAAACTACCCATGAATGGTACCTCCTCATAATCAAGCCTGGCAAAACATATTCGACTTGTGTGTGTATATATTCATTGTTGATAGTAAATAAATGATAAATATACACAATCCATATCAGTAGCTATTTTTTCTTGATGCGGAAAAATAGGTCAACAGGGAACTCCGCGTAGGCACGGCGGAGGCGTTTGCCTGTGCTACCTGCTAACCGCAAGACAAGGATAACAAAAAAACACTACCGTCATATATACGTTTTATAAAAAGTTCACAAATACATATATATATATACAATTATATACATATATTTTATAATATGAAATAATACATATATATATATACATAAGATGTATGATATATGTTTACACATATACAGATACCATATACATGGTTTAACCCATGGCTTTCTGTAAAACAAACGTGTTTTCGGCGTTGAGGTGCTGTGATGGGTGTCTCCACCTGGGGCTTTTTGCAGGAAGCTGCACTGGTCATCTGTGCATCTTGGCGACTGTGGATGTGGAAGCCGACAGAAAGTTGGGTGAAATTTTCGCAGGAATATGACATGGATTTCATGGGAGATCCCTCCTCATTTTAATTGAATAGTCCCAAATATGTGGTGTCATCCCCTACAAAAAGCTTAAGTGACTCTTGGGGGGTGTTGAATATCAAGGGATTATATGATATTATGTGTATATATATATACATATAGATATCGAGACAGTGAATTGTGAATTATGATGATGCATACCAATATATATATATGTTCACTATACATGTCATGTTTTGGAACTATAGAGTTACTTGCAGTTGACACTTGTGAAATCATACTGTCATATGTTTATACTATTGATTTTGTGTGTCGGAAGATTCGAAAGTTGCTGTCCAAGCACATTATAGGAGTGAAATGAACTATATGTGAGAAACGTTTGTATGATTGTTTTTGCTGTTAGTTGCCGTGCAACTGACTGCCTGTAGTTTCCTGAGAGCAGGATAGCATGATGTGCATGGCTTGTGAGATTCCATTGATGATGTAGGATGATCTAAGTAGACTTTAGCCAACATCATCTTTATGACCTCACCACCGATCATGGTTTTAAGTCAGGGTAATCAGTAGTCATCTATTGAAATGTGTTTTTGTTCATGATTGGAAAGGATCATAGTTTGCTTAGCACATGTGAATCTATAATTTCTCGGCAGGGTTGTGTCCCAAGAGGAACGGTCGGCACGTTCTCAGGTGCTGATGCAGATCCCAATCTTTGGTGCATACTTGGTGCACCGAAGGCCGGGCAGATCGTAAGCTGCTTTATAAGGCCGCCCTATGAACATCCTATGGAATCCTATGGAATCCTGCATGAGTGCTTGGATGACTGGCCAGAAATGGCCATTTTAGAGTGGGCCGATTTGCAGATTTTTTTGCGTTCCCCATTTGTGGTCAAACTCATTTAAGTGCAACTGACAACTTCAGTGGCTTCAAGACCATCATACAGAAAGGAGATTCATTGCTTACTTGGCATATCTTGAAATTGCAATGTGACAATTACATGATATATCATAATATTGTGTGTATATGTGTGTATTGGTATGTCTGGAAACTGGATATGGACACATGCTTTGTAGCTCTGTATTTTTCAAAGGGTTTTCCCTTTTTGTGCCTACCTTCCGCTGCAAGCCCAGGCTCACCATCCGACACCCGGAGCTGTGGAGCCCCTCGGACCTGATACTGGCAGCATGTTCGATGCTTACCCTCCCCCAATCAACCTAGACCCTAGACCCTGAAATAGCTGTGAAAACTCAGCTTCCAGCTTATCTGGCATGGCAGGGCATGGCAGGGCATGGCAGGGCGTTTACAGATTTTGGAGATGAATGGCATCATTGAATAAACACCCTGAATGGTATTGGTGGCCACAAAACCACAGGATGGCCCGGATTCTTGGGAGGGTCAACCTGCCGGCAGGTGTGACATTGGCATTTCCCTGCGTGAATACAGTTCCTCAGCTGGGAAAGCTCAGATGGCCCAGACTTCGAGATTTTTTGGATGCAATGCTTAGCAATAGACAAAGATTCGTTTGCGTATCCAGGTGGTTTGCCAGAGCTGATAGGGGATACTAGGAACTGCCACAATGGTTGGTGCAGCCTGGCAAGTTTAGGTGATGTACCCACTTCGTAGGCTAACTATGGGTAGTTTGCTGAGAATTGAAGACGTGTCATCTACTTATCTGGTTGGTGGTTTCAAACATTTTTTATTTTCCATAATATATGGGATAATCCTTCCCATTGACTAATGTTTTTCAAGATGGTTAAAACTTTTAAAACCACCAACCAATTATCATTGCATTGGTTTAAGGTAACATGTATTCGCTGGTTTCGCTGGTTTCGCTGGTTTCCTGGGCCCTCATGAGAGGGAAGATCTGCCCCGATATGGCAGGGAAATGCAGGGCATATTATCGGCAACTGAATGGATGGAAACTCACACCAGTGAGTCCCACCCATATCACCTTCAGTTCAATCCCTGTCACTCAATCTGTCAACAATCTGTCAATGTCACATGATTTTCTCAAAAAACATCCATTAATCGTGACTCATCAATCATATATCAGATATCCCAATAATTCCCCAGAAATATCCCCAGAAATATCCAAATTGAATTGCTAATCATGTTTCTTGACTCGGAATCTCCCCATTTCCGACCTGCGGCTTTGCAGGTGCTGTGGGTTCTGTCCTCGATCCTACTGCCCATTGGCTCCGAAGGAAGCCCTGCGTACAACATGGCGGGGCAGAATCTGATGTTCATCCAGTCGCTCAGAGCAGAGAAGATATGACTCTGCAGTGTTTTTCAGGATTTGCGAAGTGGAAAATCACTGAACATCACCAGTTTTTGAATGCGAACGGTTTAAACAACAGAAGATTCTTATGTTGTTATACTGGGGGATGGAAACAAGGCTTGAACGGAATTCGGAGAGTACAAGAAACCTCACTCCGGGTTGCTGCAACCTCGGCTCGATTTCCCTGCAACAAAGTGAGTGGAAAAGATGGCTGAATTTGGTTGGATTACCAGCCACACGAGATGAAATAACTGGATAAGATATGATGAAATTGAGTTGTTTCTTCCGGATAGCTCCATGAAATTGATTTCCCATGTGGTACCGTAATATGTTACCCCTTTTTTTGGCCCACTTGTTCCCCCGGTCCCACTCCTGAGATTCGTTGTGCCATGAGGTGTTGCGCCTGGCTGGGCCGAAGTAGCATCACCTTTATGTTGGAGTCTGGGCTCAAGATGGCCATGACCTTTTTGAATTCGAATGACAAGTCTCTGGTCATTTTCATGGCCTTCCTATCCCAAAAGTTGGTTGCATTTGGTGGGATGATTTGTAGGATGTTTGCCCCCGACGATGCTGTCGATGTGGGGGAACAACACAAGCATCACACAGGGTGGATGTAATTCCACTAAAAGTATCATCAACTTTGGGTCAGTTGCAGCAACCTCACTAGCCGACGTCATTCAGCATAGGCGATGGTTGGATCGTAGATTTTACTGTGTGGATGGAACATTCAGTTTCATCAATATCCCATGCAAATTGCGGCGCCACATGGACTCTATAAGACGAGGTCCATTGTAGGAAGACCTATCAACATCTATCAACCAAACAGTGGAACATAGTGGAACCATTCGAGATGCTGGAGGAATTTACCCCCTACATGTTTGATGAAAATCAAGGATTGATCAATGCCATTGATGAATCTCATTGACCGGTGGAAAAAAGAAAACAAAGACATCAAATCCTGGAAGATGAATCCCAATTTATATTCATTAGATATATTATAATGTATGATTAACTGATGCGATATATATATATATGTAAATACATACTTAGTTTTCATGATTTTCACATATATATATATACACGTCTGGCAGCTAGCACTGAGTGCAGCGAGATGAAACCCGATTTCCAACCTGTACAGTAGAACTCTTTGGTGATGCAAGACTAGGCACGAGTGAATCTCAGCGGCAAAAAAAAAACACGTAGTTTTCATGATTTTTCACGTATGCATATATATATATATACATATGTGTTTTATTGATATTATTATTTCGCTAGGAGCTAGTATCATCATTATGCGGATTGACCACTTGACATCCTTTATCGACTGCAGAGCTGGTTGGCCGCGGCCGCAGCGCAGCGCTGGGTGAATCCCAAAAGTGGTTTTGCTTTGAAGGCGCGGGTCGGTCAAAAAGAGAAGGAGGTGCAGAACTGGAGTTATACATATGTATAACCATGGTGATAACTTCCACAAGTTGTATATATATATATATAAATGGATATACCCCCTATTATGGTGATGTATTCACTTTTACCTGGGTTTTTATTGTCTTTGGTATCCCCATAGGTTGTGGATATCAGTTATGTGAGATAGGATATATCATGCGGATTGAGCCAGCACAAAGAAAGGTGACCAGCTGGGAGATTCCCTATTTGGAGGCAAATGCATATCCATGTTTGCTTGGTCAGAAGGTATATCCCTATGTTTGATGGTCAAAAGAATGAGTTGGTTGAATTGCCGAATTTGCGTTGGGTACATCCTATATATATACTGCCATTTAAATCGTTTAAATCCCCCGCTTCGGCTGGTTAGGAATTCCACTGTTGGCTGGTTATAGCACTATTCTGGCTATGTGTCAAGACCTCCCCAATATTTTGAGGAGGAAGATCAATAAATACCTTACTGGTTGGTGGTTTGGAACATGAATTTTATTTTTCCATTCAGTTGGGAATGTCATCATCCCAACTGACGAACTCATATTTTTCAGAGGGGTGGCTCAACCACCAACCAGCTTAAATTCCTCCAAATCCCAGCTATTTTGGGTTGATAACCCACAGGATTCCTTGCGTTTGACCCAGTTCGCCAGGCTGCAGTGGGCTGCTACCTGCTGCTGACGCTGGCGGGGGGACTTCGCTTCTATGCCTCTTGGAGCAATGGTTACCCTCCAGTAAACCAACATAACTGTGGACAATCACCAGTGTTTACAACGTAAATCATCTAAAACCACTTGAACATACTGGATTATATGGTATTATATGGTATTATATGGTATTATATGGTATTATATGGTATTATATGGTATTATATGGTATTATATGGTATTATATGGTATTATATGGTATTATATGGTATTATATTATGGGGAATATACACGAACAATCATCGATAATCATACTATCACCAATGATAGTTGAAATATATCGACCCCTGAGCCCCACCATGTATAGCATGTGCAGGTAGGTCTAGTAGAGGTATGTTGTAGCTATGATTCCAATATACTCCAAGTAGATATCCCCGATATGTACAGCAGTAGCACCACCTACTTAGAAGCGTTAGGTAGGTAGAGTAGCCATGTTTATAGTAGGGATTCCCCTAACCCAACAACTACCGGGTCAGGGTGAAACTTCCGCTGCTTGCGGCATGGCTCAAGTGCCCGTTCAAAAGAAGGCATTTGTTTTGTTTGTATGTGCAGGGTTCGGCGGTTTAGATTCCCCTTGTTTTGGGTTTCTGTTCCGACCCCCTGTTTGTCTGGTTATCAGCCGTAAGGCTTGTTGTTTCTTTTGTTGGGGAACCTAAACCGCGGAAACTTGCTTAGGCCCTAACTTATTCGCACTTTTTCGCTGTCACTCTTGCATGCCCTCAGACGGATCGGGTGAGGTCGCTGCTGATTACAGCGCGACTGAAGGAACGCCAGTGGAATGAGACGAGGCGGCTGGTGAAGCAGGAAGCGTCGAGCAAACAGCTCCGTCTATACTGCTGACCCGGTAGCCGAAGGCTCCCGAAACTGGGCCGATCTTTCTGAGGTATTGGAATCGACCGAGCTCTCTGGTGAAGCGGCGACTGCAGAATTTGTCCCGGTGAAGGAAGAGTTGCACGAGCTTCAAGAGGCACAGTCTTTGGGTGCAGTGCTTTCAACAATTGGTTTGCCGGAAGAGGTCGTTGACGATCTCGTCGCGACAGGAGACATCGAGGCCGAAACTTCATTGCAAGATCAGTCATTTTTGGAACCGCCATCTGATTTGGGTAACCCAGCAGAAGCAGCTTTCACGGACATTGATCGTGCAAAAGAAGAAGAAGAAGTAGATCCTCAACAAGATTCTTCAACTCTTCCGGAACAGGCCGAGTGCGAAGTTGATACAACAGATTTTGCAGATCCAGTTGGAGAAGCCGAACAACAGGTTGAGACAGCTGATCTTTTAGGTTTAGGTGACGAGGCGGGTCCAGTAGGAGAAGCATCCGTTGCATCCGAACCATCTGCATCCGTGCCTGAGCCTGTGGTCGCTGACACATCCGGTGTCGCGACAGAAGCCAACACTAATTGCCCCGGTGACATAGTCCCTCCACCAACTAGCCCTAATCTTGTTGAACCCGGCACCGATCCTATCCAGGTAGGTCATTCCCCTGCAACTTCATCTAATCCCCCAAGACAAAGGGTTAGATCAAGTAGGGGTGGTGCCACAACCAGGTGGCAAGAAGCAAAGCGAGCTTGGTGGAACGACTTCGAGGCATACCAAAATTGGCTTTATTTGAATTCGGGAGGTGATATTGCAGGTGGCTTCTGGTTAAGAAAAATATCTTACGAATACGCCGACGAAAGCCTTCGCTGGTTGATAGCTCTTCATTCAAGACTTATTGAGGAACTCCCAACATCACAGTGTTTAGCTTTAGCCTACAATATCCTTATCCCCTACAAAGAGTGGGCTCACATCCACGGGTTGGACAGGCGTAGAGGTATTGCCCACGCACAGCAAGTGATTGATTCTGGTGAATTACCTCCAAAAAGGGTCATTAACCAACGAATCTTAGGGGCAGAGCACCCACGCGCAGAAGAGTGGGATATATATTATAGATATATAGGTCCACAGCAGCAGCCCCGGCCAAAGGGGGTTAGGCCAGCTGCCGCAACACCCGTTGCTGGCGCGGCAAGTGGTAGCGCAGACACAACTCCGGTTGCCAAGCAACCCAAGGAGCCTGGGCACCCACCGCCCAACTGGCAACCCTCATTGAGGGCACCAAACCATCCGGTCCAACCGCCGCGTCCGAGGGTTACTGTCTCTGTCCATCCAGTCCCACAAACCCCAAAGTCAGATTCTCAAGGGGTCGCTGCCTTTGGGCGCGACGTAGCACCAGTCCCAGTAGCTAGCCCTGCTAGGCCACCACCTAAAGCTAGGCCCAAAGCTCCTGATTCTAGTGCCACCACCCTTGCAGATAGAGTTCGTGGTTTGCCACCTCCACCTAATACCATTGCCCCTAGTCCGCCCCCTCATAAACAACCACCTTTACCACCATTACCGCCTCCTCATTCACCACCACCTGGTGATAATTTTCCACCCCCACCATCTCATCCACCGCCAACTGCACAGGAGCTCGCTGCCCGCAGTTCCCAACGTGCAGAGGCGCGAGAAGAGGTTGCTCCAGCGGATCCCAACGATCCACCGCAAGAGGAGCAAGAGTGGGTTGCGGAAGAGGCGGAGGAAGAGGAAGTTTTAGAGGAGGACGAAGTAGTTGAGGTCGAGGTTGAGGCTGAAGCTGAACCCGAATTCCCTGACTTCACAACAACAGAGCACGGCCGTGAGGTTTCCACACGCCGTCGTAGGCCTAAAAGAACTAGGTCCAATCCGCCATTGCCTGTCAATCTAGTCCCAAGGGAAACCCGTGAACGAATTGAACTTAATCAAGAACTTTATAGAGCCCGAGCCATAACCGGTGTTTCTAGAAGACCTCTTGCTTTAAGACCCCAAGTGCACGGTTACCCCGAAATTAGAATTGACTCCGCTGGCACCTGGGCTAGGGTCGCTGATCCTCCGATCGATCGCGTACGCGCCGCAGACTTTGCCTTTTATCATTCCTCACGCCGAGGCTCCAGAGCTTAGGGTCAACCCACACGAGCTTCCCGACTCGTTGTGGCGAGATCCTGCACTTAGATCCCATCGGACAGTTCTTGGTTCAAGTAATTTAGACCCCAATAGTGTCTATAACATTGCCACCAATAACCCCGAGACCGAATCTGAGGGCTCTGAAACTGCTGAGACTCGAACCGCCAGGTTTGTATCATCAGCTCAGGCATTTGTCGGCCAGCAAGAACCGTTTGACGCTGGCTTCGTTGAGCGCACCCCTGCCCGTCCAATTGAGTCTCCACCAAAGAGACAACGCCCTAACATAAGAACCTCTCAAATTCAACGTGATAAGCCGGCACAGCCCCGAAAAGATCCAGTTTCTGCTGCACCAACACCACCTGCAGCCCCTACAGTACCATCTTTGACTGTTCCCCCATTAAGCAGTTCTAGTAGTTCAGCTTATCCTCCCTGGAGGCAGTCCTTGCAAAGTGCTGGAAGTGGGGTCGCTGACACAGCCCGTGTCGCGACAGAGACTGTATCAGAGCCAGCCGGCTCTCCCGTTGCACGATCCAGATCAAGAGCACCCTCAGCCGAGACTGCGCCTGCAGTTGCTGCCAAAACCAACAGGGGAAGGGAAGTACCAATTTCAAATAAGATTTCATCTAAGTCTCGCAAAAGAGCTAGTTCCGTTCCAGTGCCAAGGCGTTCAAAGGGGGCTGCTGTCTCCGACACGCCTCAAAGGCCAGAACCTCTACCGCCAGCTCCAGAGCCTAAGAAGAATCTGCCGTGGAAACATCCACCTGTGACACTTGCCGCACCTGTGGCACCTGCCGCACCCGTGGTAATTCCCCCAAGACCTAATAGGCCAGTTCCCCCTAATCCAGCTAATCTTATAAGCCCGTAAAACTCCTCCGCCAGGAGAGGGCAAGACCTGCTGGCCAATCGTCCCGAGACTTGCCTCCGCTTGATCCCGAAGGACAGCAGCAACAGCAAGAAGATCAAAGCTCAGGCTCTGGCCTTGCACCCCACGTCCGTGGGCGGCCTTTGCCTGAACCAAACCCAGATCGGCCAGAGGGGGTCGCTGGTACTGTACCGCGACATTACCAACAACAACCCAACTTAGTCTCTAAGGTAGTCCACGTTAGTTCATCCAACGTAGTTGTTTGCATTGATTGGCACGATACCATTGACCAAGCTCTCAACCCCATTGGTGAATTGTCTTCCCATCTAGTTGACAAGCTTCGTACATTGACTAGGGTTGCTGGTAATCAAATTGAGTTCCATATCGTTTCATACGCCGGCCAATCTAAGATAGAAAGCACTAGAGCTGGTGCTGAACACGTGATTGGCCAATTGGTCGCAGAAGGTTTGCCATTTAGAGAGCTGCACCTTGCCCGCTATCCTTGCGGCAGGCAGGGCAAATCATCTATCATCTCTGCACTCCAAGCACACTGTCTCGTGGACGACCGGTCCGACATTATAAACGAGTGTAAGCAGCTTGGCATTAAAACCATCCGATCAGAAGGGCGTGCCGATAGGGAGCTCTGCTGGGTCGCAGAAATAGAGGACTGGCTCCGGCACGAGGGCATCAGTTACATCCTGCACGCCCGCCGTCCAGTGCCGCTTAGGGCGAACCAATTTTACCCGAATTTCGGGGGCCAGGACGATCGAACACTTTGGTAGACCCTGGCACAAGTCCAGCGGTTCTACAACATCCGATAGGTGCATCCGAAACGCCGAGGTAGCTGAGCTTGCTCGCTACACTCCGTCGGTCTGTCCCTGTCGTTTGCTGAGTGTCTTTTGTCCCATTGCATTTTGCCTTTTGTTTTTAGTTCAGTGTTGTTTCTGTGGTCAGAGCTAGGGTCATTACCGCTAGCGAAGCCATAGTTCATCCGAACTTCAACACAACCTGAATTAATTTCAATTGCACTTTATTATCTTAATATCCAACTTGCGAAGACATTGTTGGTTGAGGTAGTATTGTGCTGCATTGGTCTTTTGTCCCATCACTGCAAACTTTTGCTTGGAACGCTGAGCAAAGCTCGCGTTGGATCAGACATCGTTGCAGTTGAGCGCAAAAGTT